TGGATGCACCATTCAATACATTCTACCATTCACATCATCAATTCCTCTTACCAAAGATGATAATTAAAAACTAATATTGCCATAAACCCCAGGAAGCTGTGCTGACTTCTGATGGGCTTCTTATATTTTCCACTACCACAAGAGAAAAAAATGTTTTACACTTGTCAGATAGACACTTGTCTATCTGAAGACAGCAAAAGTCAGAGGAAGGCTGTGGGGGAAACTGAGATACTAAGCTTTCCAACTGTCCTTACTTTTACTGTAAAGCACTAGTTTGTACCCAGAGCTCTGCACTGGAACACATATTACTCAGAAGACAAACTTTGTGGGCAAACATCATATGGGCAACATGCACACATAAAATCCTACAGGGCTGGGCTCTGCTCACCAACATGTGCTCCGGGCTGCTGTTGTCCTCTATCTCCTCACACCATTCAGTGGACTTCCCACCAGCAACTGCAACTTTGCTGGAGCAGTCTGTAATCTCACTGTGTTTGCACAACACCTGAAGATCTGATCTGTGGGAGAGATTTTACAATTGAAATCTGCAAAGTGTTAATTCCTGCAAATTGTGGTATATTTCAGGTCTGGCTGTTGCTCTCCTTGTCACACCTCATTCTCCTTTCTGAGTGGCAATTGCAGCCTGTGCCAGACAAGACACATACAGGGGTCAGATCCAGCACTAACACTGTCAGTGGTTGTCATTTGATGTGACACTCAATACATCTACAAGCATGAACTGCTTCCTCTCCCAAAACAGCTCAAACTTTCAGGTTGCCTCTGGAGTAAATCAAGGTCTTGCCCAGGGTTGGCTCAGAAGCTGGCTGTCAGTTGTGTATAACAGTAATGCCCCTTGGTCCCAGCAATGTCTTCACTGTGGCAGAAGACAGTCCTTCACATGAGAGAGAGATGCAGTCTCCAGGCTGAGCACAGCAGTGCTGTGCTAGCAGGACCAGCCATTGCTTCCCCACTTGCTGGCTGTACACACAGAATCAGTCTGTCACTTCCATGGCTCCCTTTCCCACATTGATGCCACAGAACAGGCTGACCTCTGCTTTTAAAGCTAATGCTCAAAAGCTTGCAAGAGCTCTTCTCACTCTTCTTGACTCAAAGAATTTTGAAATTGTCTTTGTTGAGAGCAAAACGAGAAGTCTACTAAAATACAAAGCTTTTAAAAACTCTGCTATACCATCATATAGTGCCTACAGAATCCACGTATTACCCATAACAATGCTAGAGCCAAATATTATCTGGCTCACCTCTGGTGGGTGCTGAGCTCATATAGAGGATGATGGTGCTCAAACACTTTGATGTATCAAGTATATTTAACAGTATGCATATGAGAGCACTGACTTTTTCAAGTTCTTTTTTTTTATATCTCAAATCTGTAACTAAGAAGGATTGTAAAAGCCTCAGACACAAAAATCGTGCTGTAATGTCAGAGTTATGTGCTTCACCTCATGGCATGTGAGGTTTTGAACTTGTTTTGAAGATACTGGGACTACTAAGCCTAAAAAAGGCAATTCAGAAAGCAGATCCATAAGCATTTCTGCAGTTGAGCTGCAAAGCAAAGCTTTCCAGTTGCTTCACAAGAATTTTGGTCGCTTCATTTCCATTAGTTTAGCCGCTGGAGTTATTTTAGTTCATTGCTCTGACTCAAAAGCATGCAACATCCCATTTGCAGCACTGAGTAGCAAGAAACTGCATTCAAACACCTAGAAAATGTGTAATAAAAGATGATAAAAATGTATCCTGGAAACATATATTTTTTTCTAATGGTCTTTGTTGGATGATGGGGACAATCAGCAGCTTTTTTTTTCCTGTACAGTGGTCAACAAACTGAAAGGGAACAAGTAGCTGCTGCCCTGGGAGAGCTGAAGGTACCCCCACAAGATTCTCCCATGCACATATCCTGCATCCCACTGCCTACAGAGGATCTCCACCTTGCACAGGCCCACAGTTCAGCACACCCCTATTTGGATTTTACTCTCTGTAATGCTGTGTAAATCACTGAATCTTCCTCTGAGTCACTTTTTCATCTATAAAGTGGAGGTACTATTTGCTAACCACTGTGAGTTGTCATGAGGCTTAATTTCTTAAGAAGTGCCAAGTCTCTGAATAGACTCAGGGGAAAGGAAAGCAGACAAGAAATGCAGGGCATTACCTTGAGGTTTCCTTCATCTGCCGTGATGGTGATGGCCAGGGAGCTCATTCTTCTCTCGTTGGGCAGCTCTTGTCACCTGGCCAAAGCTGAAGGAGCCTGGGGCTTGGCTCCAGCTCCTCCCAAATTCAGGGGTCCACAAGAGACAGGAGACCTATCATTCAGCAGGACCAGGGACCAACCATCAGGTTGCTGCTGCTGCAAGATGTAGGAGACACTGACAGCTGTGGGGCAGCCTCCCCATCCCCTGTTCCTCCACAGCAGCGAGGGCCCTGCTTGGAGAGAAAGCAAGGAGGGGAAACATCAGGAAGATGTGGTCACAGTCTCCTGCCAACAAATGCTTTTCCAGTGCCCTCTTCTGGAAAACATTTTTGGCCCAAGCAACTCCTTCAGGAAAGATAGTTTGAGACTGGTGGTGACTTGTGAGGAGTTGCAGGAGCATTCTCTGGCTCTTCATACACAGGATCTGCTCTGCTCCTGTCACTGGGGGACCTGTGCAGCAGCTCATGCCCTTCAGAGCAGCTTGGCCAGACACCCAGGGCACTAGCCAGAAAACAGGCAGCAAAGGACATGCCTCCTACCCACTGGCCACTGCCCTCCAACCCCAGCCAGAGGGTAGAAAGTGAAGAGGGAACAACATATGGTACCAGGGAAGTGGTGGAGTGCTGGGACCAGGTGATGGCCATCATCCCTATATGGACCACAGCCCTTGCTTTTCTGCCAGCTCAGTGAGCATCTGGCTCCTGCAGTGGTGGCACAACCCTTCACTTCCCTTTTGGGCTGATTTTCCAACACCTAAATTACATCTGCTGCCCATGGAGCCAAATCTAGGGGTTTGTGAGCCCCATTATTTGCCCTGTTAACTGGCAGGGGAGGTGGTGTGAAATTGGTCTGGGTTTTTGACGACTTACTTCAGCACAGACAATGCTTGTGCAGTGACAGCAATAGCTGTTGAGAGCAGGTAGTGTCCTGAGGACCAGCTGATGTGGGTGCTGCACACTGAGACAGTTTTCCCTAGTGCCTGCTTGCTATTTAAAAAACTTTCTCTAATTCATGTGTGGATGTGTGGCCACATACACACCAAATATATGCTTTTAAAAAATATTTTAGGAGGTTTTGTTCTGTCTTCCATTAAGTTTAACCACAACCAGCAGCTCTGTCCCCTGGCAATTCTTTTGACTGTGTCCCCACTTGCCTTTTGTTTATTATCTGCTTGATCTTGGTGTTTTCCTTTATTTTAATTCTCCAACGGATTCTTGTATAGGCCCCTGCCACACCCCCCTTCCCCCAATCCAGCTCCAGCATCTGAAGTGTGTGGGGTGGACAAGGACATCCCATTGATCTGCTTCTGCCTGAAATACAGGGGGTTTTCCAGCTGAGCTCCGGGGGAGAGGTGGGAGGATAGGACCTCTGAGGCTGGTGAGCACAGCCTTTTTGGTACTTTCACGAGAGCATCTCGCACTCCATGGCAGCCAGCATTTCCCATTGCTTTTCCTTATGCAGGACTGAGGGTTTTCCCCACGTCACAGTGCTCACCCACCAGCTCTGCAGAAGGGCAAGGGCTGGCTAGATGTCTCTGCCATTTAAATAGCCACCGGTGACTTGGAGATAGGGAGCAGGAGCACCCTGAGCTCTGTCCTGCAGTGTGGGTTGCAGAAAGGTTCCCTGCCTCACTTATAAATGCCCTAGGGACGGCAGGGTGTAAAAACCCCCTTTTCAGCATGGCAAGGGCAGCCCCATCCTTCAGAGCTCCCACGACAGGGCAGGGACTCAGTCCACAGGGGGTTGCTCCCACCGTGGGATAAAGCTCGAACTTCTTAAAGAGAGGGGAAGAGTGGTCGAAAGTGCCTGTCCCAGCAAGGGCAGACAGCGCGATCATTCCAGGGCTAAACCAGAAACGGGTTAAAAGGATCATGGAACTTAACACTTGTTTACAACTTCCACCAAAGCGCATTTTAAAAACAAGCCAGCAATACAAAGTAACTTTACAATGGAAACAGCTCTCGGTGTCAGAGCAAAAGCAGAGGTGAAAAAAAAGAATTGGTCAGTGTTAAGGGAAGTGTTTTGGATAACAACCTCGTTGTACGGGGATGGAGGCAGGGGCAGCACCGCTGCGGGCAGCAGCCAGCGCCGACAGGGGCTGCGAGAGCCGCACAAACATGATGGCTCTGAGGGAGGCAAACGCTTCCAGAGTGCCACCCCCCCCGACACTCCGGGTGTGACACTCGGGGTCCCCTGATTCAGCGGTGCCTTCCTCCAGCATCTGCTAAAAACATCGCTTGCGGCCGCTTTTTCACGCTAAGGCAGCGGTACCGAGCCGGGGGCGGGGGCGGCGCCAGCCGTGCACCTGCTGGCGGCGGGCAGGGCTGGGGGGGTCGCGCACATCACTCCGCAGGTGGATCCCACACTGGGCGGGCTCACGGGGACATGGGACGCGGGGGCCGGGCCGGGGGGGGGCACCGCAGAGCCCCGACACCCTCACGCCACAGCAGGGCCCGGGCGGGGCGGGCGGCGCCCTGCGCATGTTCGGCCACACGTCACAATAGCGGCGGTGGGAGCGCGCCCGGTCCCAGCCGATCGCGGCTGGTTTGAGCTGGTGCGTTGCCACAGCGACGCCGCTGCGCTATAAATAAGAGCGCGGCGGCCGTGGCGAAGCTTTGTCAGCCGCGGCGCCCCGCTTGCCCCTGCCGGCCCCGCTCCTCCTCAGCCGGCCCGGCGCTCCCGCCCGGCTCCGCGCACCGCGCCCGGCTCGCAGGAGGAGCAGGAGGCGGCTCGGAGCGAGGGGATCTGCCACCGCCGAGGCTTGACAGCAGCTCTGCCAGCGCTGCCCGAGGTGAGGCGGGCGGCCAGATGTGCGGGGCTGTGCCGGGAGCGAAGTGGGCGCCGGGATGTGCGGGGCTGTGCCGGGAGCGAAGTGGGCGCCGGGATGTGCGGGGCTGTGCCGGGAGCGGAGCGAGTGGAGGAAGCGGCCGGCGCAGAGCCACGTGTCTGCGGGGTCGCTGCCAAAGCGGCGCGGCCCGGGCCGGGCGCCGGCGCTGCCGCCGGGCACGGGGAATCCCCAGGGCCGCCGGGAGGCTCCGGGCGGCTGCGAACGGGCCAGGCGAGCTCGCCCGCTCGCCTGGAGAGTGTTGGCGGCGCGTCCCCAGAGCGGAGAAAGGGACGGCCCCACCGTGGCCGCCGGGCTGTTTCCGGGGTGGGGAGAGGCAGGTGCGTGGCAGGAACAGGGCTTGGGGCGCCCGGGCTCGCCCTTGGCCCGGGCGGCGCCGGGGCGCTGCCCCCCCCGCACACTCGGCGGGACCCAGCCTGGGGCGGGAGAGTGCCGGCTCCGCGCAGGGACCATATGGCTGCGCAGGGAGAAGGACCGTCAGTGAGCTGATCCCCCCGGGGTCTCGGGTAGGGGCCCAACCGCGGCGTGAGGTGGGTGGGCTGTGATGAAGGTGCCCCCCGGGGCAGAGAAACCGCAGTGTCAGGCTGGGGCAGCCCCAGCCCGGACGGGTGCCGGCTCCGCGCAGGGACCATATGGCTGCGTAGGGAGAAGGACCGTCAGTGAGCCCCTTCCGTGCCTGCAGCGGTCTGCAGGGTCGGGAGCACTTCGGGCACCTTTTCTAGACGCAGCTTGGCTATTTGAGTACAGAGCCTGCACGCATGGCTCAGCTCTGTCTAAATACAGCTGCTGAATAAGGGAACGTTCTGGAGAACAAATTCTAAATGAGCACAAATTGCCTTTCTTCTGGGGAGCTGCAGACACTTTGCACGCAGTCCAAATAGAAATGTACTTTGGGAGGCTACAATTTGCACCTACGTGATCATGTTCTGCCTATATTCTGTGTAATTACACTGTAGTTAAAATTGTGCGATGAGGTGGAGATGGAAAGCTTGCAAGAACTTCTTAACAAAATCTGCTGTGACCAGTAAAAGTAATTTCCCTTTTAGATGTTAATAGGAAAAGTGCTGTTCATACGGTTCTTTGCAGAGGGGAAATTAAACTAAATTCATCCTGATGGTGTTCACTTCTCTTAACCACAACTAGAAGTCCCTGAACTCCTTTCTGCGAAGCTGCAAGTCCTATATGATGTATCTTCTCCTTAATAACAAGCACCTTCCTGAGAAGTGTTTAATTTGCTGTTTCTTAGGGTCCCAGAGAGGCTTTTAAGAGAAGACTTTAATCCAGCTTGTGGGAGAATTATCACTGCACGTGAATGAGAGCAGGGGGGAATGAGGCTCAATGGATTGTTGGATTTATTAGAGTCAAAGCTTAATCTAACTTGAATCTTAAATTTGATTTATCTCTAAGTGAGAAATGATCAAAAGATGCAAAGGAATTCTTGACACTGGCAGTTCAGGTGCCATATGTTTCTGAAGGTTGAAATGATTGCTCATCTTTCAAAGTTATCACTAAATAAAATTCAATGAATTTTCTTATACACAGTGTATGGAGTGAATGATTCTGTAGGTCTTAGAACCTTGTTAGTCTGTAACAGCTATAAAATGTTATTTTTCAATTGATTTATAGCCAGACTTTTTGCAAATAGAGTGAATAGTGATGTAACTAAAGATTAGTGAATAGTTCAGAGTTTGCATAATTTTCAGTCAAAATCTGTATAACTGGTTTGAGTGTAAAAAATGCTGAGGCAAGGAAGAGGATTGGATCCCGTTACATGAAACCATATCTTCCCTATGAGTCACTTGCAATGCCGAGATCTTTAAAAGGTAGCACACGCTGCTTAAGGGCTTACTGGAGTAGGCTGTCATTCTCTATTTGGGCTACCCAGTAAAAGAATGGCACATACACTTTGCCACGGACTTACTTCATAGGTCGTGGATGGCAGAGGAATGTGCTTTTGCTCTTTAGTTCTGGTTCTCAAGGGACTTTCTGCTTGGGAGGTAGATTTCTGTTAGCAATGAAGGTTTGTAATGGACTGCTGTAAAATCCTGTTCTAAAGTGCTAATTGGGATCACTGTTAAGACTTTGTCTGCAGGTCAGAGTTAGGAACCAGTCTCCTAGTGTGTATCTGCCACTCTTGACAGCTGAGATTTTCATGGAGCTTGGAGGTCATGAGTAGAACAGGGAAGCTCTAACCACCAACAGAGTAACTTCAGGGAAAACCCATATCTCATGTCTGCTTTATGCATAGTCTGAACTGTAGTGAGAATCCAAATATTTACCTGGCTTGGACCTAATGAGAGTTGTTACTACTCAGAAGTCAGTAACGTTCTGGGATTCTCTGTGTAGAAACAAGTAAACTCTTTCTCCCAAAACTGGCAAGCTAAAATAGTGCTAAGAGTTGTTCAAAAAAAGTGGTACATAGACACTAGCCATAGTATTGATGTGGGGGTGAAGAAAAAGACAGAAGCTTCCAGGGAGCTAGACTAATAATATCTGACAGTATTTGTTTGATTGCTTTTTTCTTTGAATGTGTTGAGTACATCAAACAGTTGCTGAACAGAGAAGAACTTGCCTTCCAGCTAGAAAGAGTATTTTGGCATGCCTCCTTGGTTCTGATTACATCTGTTCTGTCAACTATGCAAGTTTCCAATCTATGCAGCTATTAGTGATAACTGTAGGAATTGTATAATTGTAATGATAGGAGCACAATGTAGTGGTCATATAACGACTATATGAATCCAAGTGAAGTAGTGAATGTAAACCACATGAATTTAAATGAAGTAACTAATGTTGGGTGGTTTTTTTCTCAACAGGTCATACTTAAATCCTTTCACGTAAATCTGAAATCTTGGAAATCATGAGTAACTTCACCAAAGAAGAATTTGAGTTGACCTTCCTTGATGAAGGCTTTACTGCCAAGGACATCCTTGATCAAAAGATAAATGAAGTGTCATCTTCTGTAAGTATGATGGGAAAACCACTACATTTCATGATGCTACAAACTTATAAACTAATGGAACAAATTGTCTTTGCAAATGATCTGCAAGGCAGCCTTCTCAAATGCTGACCTCTAGGCTTGTCCTGTTATCTGTTGTTTGTAACATTGAGATGTGTGTTTGCTCTAGGATGATAAAGATGCCTTTTATGTTGCTGACCTCGGGGATATTGTGAAGAAGCACATGCGGTGGCATAAGGCCCTTCCTCGGGTAACCCCCTTCTATGCCGTAAAATGTAACGACAGCAAAGCTGTTGTGAAGACACTTGCTGTGCTTGGTGCAGGATTTGATTGCGCCAGTAAGGTAAGATCTTGACTATGTTCTGATCTGTGATGTTCGTATATGTTCAGCTTTACAAGATGTGCTTATATAAGATTAAGCATAACCAGATGATGCCGCTTTTATTTTTCTGATTACTTTAATCATCCATCTAGAAATATGTTTTACAAGTATAATCTCTTCTTTCTTCAGACGGAAATACAGCTGGTACAGAGCATTGGTGTACCATCTGAGAGAATAATATATGCAAATCCCTGCAAACAAGTATCTCAAATCAAACATGCTGCCAGCAGTGGTGTACAGATGATGACATTTGATAGTGAAGTAGAACTAATGAAAGTTGCAAGGGCCCATCCAAAAGCCAAGTAAGTCACGCTAATTGTTCTATAATTCTTCCTTGGGTTCCCAAGTTACAGGAACATCTGCTGTTACCTGAAACTTGTTCTTTGTTAGATAAGATAGGCTGCAAAATTATGAGAAAATAAGCATACTTCTAACCAGTGATATCTAATCCTGTATAGCTTAGTGGCACATTAGGAAGAGATAGGCAGGGAAGCTTGTATCTTTAAGCTCAGTCTCAGGCTGAGGTCATAGCTGCCTGATAATGATGTCTGTTCTACTGAAACTTAACTCCTCATTTTTTCCTATTTCTAGGTTAGTGTTGCGCATTACAACTGATGACTCCAAAGCAGTTTGTCGTCTGAGCGTTAAATTTGGAGCTACACTGAAGACTAGCAGGCTTCTTCTGGAACGTGCAAAAGAACTTGAGCTTGCTATTGTTGGAGTTAGGTGAGTTGATAATGTCAAAATAGTCATATTAAATAGGTTTTCTTTAAATAGTCTTCTTTAAATAGACAGAGATGCCTTTGCATGTGGTGACATGAGTTTATACAAGACTGCTTGACTAATTTGCCAAGTAGCAACTGATATTTTGTATCTTTTCACAGTTTCCATGTTGGAAGTGGATGTACAGACCCAGAGACCTTTGTTCAAGCCATTTCTGATGCCCGCTGTGTGTTTGATATGGGAGTAAGTCTAATTCTACTTTCTCTGGAACTACTGGTCAGCTGTTGTGGCAAAAGTTAATCAAGTGTGAATGTGTTACAGGGTTAAAAAAGCTGGCTAAGTCACTGATTTCATGTTGGAATTTTTGAGGGCTTGATGGCTTACTTTGACCAATTTGGCAAAACTCATCTACAGATGCACTAAAATTGGCAGCTCTTACTGAAGTGACTATTACTTGAATATGATGAGTTATCTCTGTTCCAAATATTAATGAAATGACTTCGCATTACCTTTTAAGCTAAAATGATAAATTAACAACTGATTTCTTGACCATGTTGCCAATAATCTCATTTTAGGCTGAACTTGGCTTCAATATGTATCTGCTTGATATTGGTGGTGGCTTCCCTGGCTCTGAAGATGTCAAGCTTAAATTTGAAGAGGTATAGCATTTCTAAAAAAATTCTCAGGTTGTGGAGTCTTTTTGAATGTTGTTCTGGATTAAACAAAATCTTGCTTTTTCTGTTTGTATGCAGACACATTTGCAAGAATGTGTCTGCTTGGTCAGAAATGTAATTTAGAGGAAAAGACGAATTAATCTGAAAACTAAAAATTAGATGAACTCATTAGATACTTAGCTAAATGACTGCATAAACATGCAGAGATCTCGAACTTGGAAAGCAGGGTTTAATTGCAGGCTTAATTCTTACTGGCATAAACTTCTTCAAGTTGATACTGTACTTCAAACTGTCTGGATTGGCACTGCTCCCAAATAGGGTGAAAAGGTAGTCCTGAACCCACACTGCCCTTATGGGTTGCAGCAAATTAGATCAGTGTCTGATTTGATTTAGAACTAGCTTTTGGATAATTTTTAAATTGATCTCCAGTGTTCTCCAGTCTGCTTTCATACAAAAATAGTTCTGCTTTCAGAAGAACAAGGGGCCTGGATATTTATAGGACTTCCACTTTAAAGCAGTGTTGTCACAGCATCTCCCCCTCTAACCTAAGGCAGTGTTAAATATTGTTACATATTAACACAAGGAGACAGTAAGTTATACAAAATGAGTTTTCTGCTAATACTGTGGGCTAACATTGTTGCACTCGTGATACTTCCTAACGAAGACTGGCTTCTCATAGTGCAGTATTGCCATTAAGTGCAAATGATGTTGTCTTTGGGCTCCATGGCAATATACAGCCATGCTGCCATTGGAGGCAGCTTAAAGGTAACTTCAGAACTTGGAAATAACTGTTGATGAAGGCAACTGAATTTCAAATCCTGTGAGATGACTTCTTTAGGATGCAGTAAGATGGGGAATATTGCATAACTAGGAGAACTACAAGGGGACTAGAAATCAAATTTTGAAGAGTGGGAACTTGCAGGGCATTAATGTTGGTTTAATGAGTCTAGGAATGGTGATTTTCTTTAGACTCAAACATGAGTTGTTTTGTCACTTAAATATTAAGCTGCAATTGATGTTTGCTTTTGTTGCTTTGTGTAAATTTAATCACAAACAAGACTTTGAATGGGAAAATAAAGCAAAAGTAATCACTAGAGATTATAACAGGTGTTAATAGATGCTACATGTTTGACCAGTACGTCATCGTGTACCTAAGAGTCTGACTTCATTTCAAGCTTCTAAAATAGTAGCTGAGTAACTGCTGAAATTCTAATACTGGCATCTAATTCTTCCCTAGATAACAAGTGTAATCAACCCAGCACTGGATAAATACTTCCCTTCAGATTCTGGAATAAATATTATTGCAGAACCAGGAAGATACTATGTTGCATCAGCATTCACGCTGGCAGTCAACATCATTGCAAAGAAAATTGTATTAAAGGAGCAAACAGGTTCTGATGGTATGTAAATCTAGACCTAGTCTTAGTTCTAGCCGACTATGTGTTTCTGCCCAAGCATTCTCCTAATGGTGTCTCAACTTCTTTCAGATGAAGATGATGCAAATGACAAAACTCTTATGTACTATGTGAATGATGGAGTCTATGGTTCATTCAACTGCATCTTGTATGATCATGCACATGTTAAACCAGTTCTGCAAAAGGTATGCCTATTCAGAAGTACCACATACTAACTGTGTATCATGGATGTAGGAGAATCCTTGTCACAGCAGTCACTTCTCAGTTCACTGCTCCCTTCATGTTGCCAGAGTTTGGTATTTAACTTAAGAAGCATGCAGTAGCATTAATTCAAAGCTGAGGGTGAAGAAGGATTTGCAGACAGCTCTTCCTCCTCCTCTCTACA